GGTGCAATATTGAAATTAGCTTGAATTCTTCATAACCTTTGAATAGTGGTTGACCCAACGAGTCACGGTGGTGTAGTTAAGTATTAAAGTTTTATTTCATGTTTCGTTTGCTATATATGTATTGCGTAGAAATTATTTCCAAAATTTATCTGAATACAAAAGAAGTTGCACGAGCGCTACGGCGTGCACGGTTTGTAATATGGTTGTAAAAAAAACCAACAAAATATGAAATGTTTCGCTAAGATAACATTAACTTTTTTTATTTGTTCATGCTCTTTTAAAATAATTGTCTGATACAACCAACGGTATAATCGTCACCATAGCAACGGAAAGAAACACGTGCTCAGTATACTTTCTACACTGTCGTGATATGTCTAATGTATTTTACTTTGTTTTCATTGTGTCCGAATAGAAGTTTCACAGCGCGATACTATACATGTGAACTACACTTTAGCTGGATACAAAACAAAACCCCGTTGTAAGAACGAATGCAAAAATGAATGCTCATTCTACGTCTCTTTAGGAAAAGCTAAAATATTCCTCCGGGATAACAGTGACAATTTTGTGTATATATATATAACCTGTGTCTTTTTTTATGTGTAGTTTCCGTACATATTTGGTATTTACTTCGGCCTTTTCGTTTTAAAAACGCACAAACTTAACTTCTTTATGTCATACACAGTTTGGGTTTCTATAACACTATCCTGTACACATCTTACCTTCGTATTACTTAGAACTGTTTTAATACCACAGAAACAAAGCCGTATATAAGGTGTTCACCATGTTGCTATGCCATTCACACTTTGCTTTAGTATAGTATAGACCAGGTTTGATGTAGTACGCCTAAGGTTTTTATAATACATACATCATGTTTTTATATGGTGTACAACAAGTTTTAAGCCATAAGGACAAGGATTTTATACTGTATACACCAAGTTTTGATACCATACAAACTTATGGCTTATATCGTGTACAACATATTTCTATACAATTTACACTTTACCTTACAGTGTAGTCTATGTTTTACGCAGTACAGACAAGAGTTATTTATTATGAATACTCCATGTTTTTATATCGTGTAGTATTGGGGCTTATAGCGCACAGTCATGATTTACATCGGACATGTAGCGCTCGACTCGCAATCTGCTAGACGCAGGATGAAAATCTGTACTCTAACATGCTTTCTCTTTCATTCGTGGTGGCGTTATAATGTGATGGTGAATCCCACTATTCGTTGGTAAAGAGTAGCCCAAGAGTTGGTAGTAGGTACTATGGTTAGCAGTTCAAATTAGAGACAGAAGATAGCCTCATTAGCTTTGCCATAAACAAACGAAGAAACAACGTACGTGTAAACTTTGGGTTTAAACTATATACACAAAATTTTTATACTATTCACATTTTACTTTAGTACAGTACAGTACAGAGTTAGTTTTTATACCGCGCAGACTTATCTTTATATTGTGAATGGACACCATCTTAAACAACGTACATGTAGGTTTGACCTTTGTATCGTGCTTTCCTACACCGCAAAGTCTAGGCAATTATGTGAAGAATATCTGAATTGTTAAATGATGTTTGTGTAAAATCTATAATGCTTTACAATTCAAATTTCAGTACACTAGAACTTCCGCGGCAACTTTTCTGGTTTTCATTTGTATAATAATGAATTTAATATTTGTTTACGCCAATAATGTTGGTGTTGATCAGATACACGATGGTGCTGAGCTTTTTCCCCCCAAAACAACAACATACGTTCTGATCCTAGGGTGTAATTTTATTGTTTTAGAAATATAATAATTTTCTGGGGGAAAAAATGTCGATAACAATATTCAGGACACACTCCTGAGGTGATAGTTAATCGTTTTAGCAATATAATAGTTGTCTGGAGACAGTATTCGTTGAATGCTTGGTGTAATAGACCAGTCACATAATAGAATATCTATCTTAAACTTGATGGCTTGTGAAAAGAAACAAACAGTTGTCTAAAGTAAATGCTATTTATTTGAAATCTAACTCTATATCACACATTTCAATCCTTTCTTTACGTACCCGAAAAAAAAAGTCCCATTTTTCAATTAGCAATATAAATTTTTTTTGGACAAACTTTGTGATAAAGGTATGATACTTTCCTTAAAGAGGCTGTGTTAGAATTCACTTGTTTTTTGTTTTAATAAAACTCTGTAGCAATAGGTCAAAGAAAGGTAACACTGTATAAGTGAGTGAAAGTACACACAATACAAGTAAAGGAAAACAGAAGTTAAGCTTTTTCTATGCTTGAAAGTCTTTCTTATTTCTGCACTTCTCCTCCATCATGAAACTTTCCCACTGTTTCAGGTTTTCCTTGCACAGAAATACGGTTACCGCCCTATTCCGACTAAAATAGATGCTAAAGAGTTCTTGCTTCTACGCGACGCTCTAGTTTCCGTAGGATCTGACGTCAGCCTCCTCGACAAATGGTATCAAGAAGACAACAACTCTGTTCCTTCTGAATACGTACTGCAACCCATCAGTTCAATACTGTTTAACTTTAATAATAAGGTAAATAATATAAATATATTATAGGGAACTGAAGTAATGTATTTTTATCATTTTTTGTTTTGCCACCTAACGAGGTAACTCCTTTGTGAACCACATATTTCGAAGAATAACTTGACAGCGTTAAACTGATACGACATGATTAGATTTCAGAAACAACAAAAACAAAGACAAATTTTTATTTGAAAGGGGTAAAAGTTTGTAATGAATTTCTTCACTAAGCATTTAATGATTACTCTGGTATTCTTTTTCTGCTATTTAAATGAAAATATGTTGATTATTAAAATACCAAACTCTTATTACCTGGTTTGAAAGAAACAATGTTGTCATTTACTTTCATTAGGGATCTCGGAAAATTTCTTGAGGCTGCCGGTAACAGAAGCAAAAATATACGAACTACTGTAAAGAAACAGTTATTATTGTTTGTTTGAAATCAAAGAAGCCCCAGTGGGCTATCTGCTATGTTTACCACCGGGAATCGAACCACGGATTTTAGCGTTGTACGTACGTAAACTAAACTTACCACGGACCTAAAGAAACTAAACAAATACTCAGTTTCAAAATTTTTTCTGTTGAAACTACGAAGTTTATTATTCTTTTCTTATTTCTTCTGCTTTATATCAGTCATTGCGTTTTCTTTAGTCTGCAAAACGATCCGAGCTACGTGTTAATTTCACCAATATTTTTGGTAACTGTATGATGATGGCCTCGTTAGTTGTTTTGTTGTTACTCTGAGTATTCGGTTTTTAGGTGTATTCAAGCTTTCTTATTAATATACGCATAATTCATTTCTCTTACACTCTTTTTATATGAATACCTATTAAAGTCTTCACAGGAAGAACTTTTTTTTTCCTTCCTTAGAGAGTTCCAAAACTACAAGCTCAGGACCAGGCTACTTGGTGGGATACTCTGTCCAAGTTACAGAAACTTCTTCGCAAAGCGGCACAGAGTTTACATGCCGCTGGGAAACTGGACGACGAAGCCACACACAACTACATGATGTCGGGTAAGTATAGAAAAAAATACACTCCTGAATGTGAATTTCCTGAATAAAGTAAAGAGGGTCTTGTCACGGTTTTGTTGTCAAGTAAAAGTCAAGAATTTCATATGACAAATCAGCTCATTAGAAGCAAAAAACAATCATTGGTCATGTTAAACGATAAGTTTTAAATTACAGCTGGAGACAGTTTTAGGCTTGTCTGTGGAGTAATTCAATTTTTGATAAGATTTATGTGTAGAACCAACATTTTAACGACTTGCGTATTGACAATGTAATTGTAAGTAATAACTGTGAAATTTCTGTCCAAGAACGTAGATTAAGTATCAGTTTCGACTGAAGCTCGTTAGAGGGAAATCAATTTATCGTTCGATATGTTCTGAGCCTCAAACTGTATAAAAATATTGACTAAATAAAACAAATAAGGTCCAGCTAAAGGCTGAAGTTTCAAGTAATATCATTTCTGCTAAATCGAACATAAATAACGTATCCGAATGAAGCCATGCATTCTTTTAAGGTGGAGGTCGGTTTGCTATGTTTTTTATCCTCATTGCGAAAGTGTTTGAAGATAGAATAATAATGAAAAAGCACAATCGATTGATAAATCACCTTCTCTTTTAATGACCAGAATAAATTCGTTTCGATGTAAGATAGAGTGAATTGCATTTAATAATTCATACAACGAATGTGTCATACATGAGTGATACATACATAATCTTCATCGGAATTCAGTTCATGTTTTGGACCAGGGAGGGAGGGTCAGGTTCAGCGTAGACCTTTTCTTCCCTCTCTGGAATTATTTTGTTTGCACTCTTACTGAATTCTAGGTAATAACCCTTTTTACGTTGTTGTTGCATTACTCACAGTATGTCGGCCCGGCATGGCCAGGTGGTTAAGGCACTCGACTCGCAATCTGAGGGTCGCAGGTTCGAATCCCTGTCACACCAAACATGCTCGCCCTTTCAGCCGTGGGGGCGTTATAATGTGACGGTCAATCCCACTATTCGTTGGTAAAAGAGTAGCCCGAGAGTTGGCGGTGGGTGGTGATGACTAGCTGCCTTCCCTCTAGTCTTACACTGCTAAATTAGGGACGGCTAGCGCAGATAGCCCTCGTGTAGCTTTGTGCGAAATTCAGAAACAAACAAACACAGTATGTTACATTTTGTCCTTTGTCCACAGTTTTTATTTTCGTGTCATGTCCAATTCATGGGGTAATATTAACTTGTATGTTTTCATTAGCTTCATTTATGTACAATATGATCGCACTGTTAGTCCGTGTTCACAATACAGTTCCGCTTAGCAGTCATATGCACACACACATAATCCTATTTTCACATACAAAACCCTTTTAAAATAGAGCTACGTTTGTGTCTAGAATTCAGTTAGCCTAGCATTGTTTGGCTTTAAGATTCATATTTATCATGTTTAGAGGGGAGAAGTACGTAGTCTTCAGGACATCGTCCCAGTTTTAAAACTGGTGGCTTTCCACTGGTCTAATAATTTTCGGACCTTTCGTAATGCTCCAAGGCATCGTGAGTCATTGGAGTATTTGATCCAATCAATTTAAAGTTTAGTTTATTAATAACCCTTCCTCAGGTCTCGTAGAACTGGATAGAATTTTACTTATACCAAAAAAACGACATGATATAATCATTTATAAACTGTAACGTTCCATTTGTATGTATATATATATATATATCCATACATATATTTGCTAGTTGTTTCCTATACATATATACAAATCTACGAAACAATATATCTTTTTCGTAGGAGAATTACTGCTGTTGCCAATTAAGTACATTTTGAACAAGTACTGGATGTTTAGTATTGACATTAACTTATTTTTGCTATAAAATAACACCAATTTTTTATTTATATAAATATCGTATTTAAAAAAAAATCGTTATACTGCTCATAAAAAGAATAAATTAAGTTTTAAAAATGCTAATGATGGATATCACACACACACAAAAAGATAATTCCGGCAACTTAACAATAGTTGCCTACATACATGTATTTAAAATACAGGAAATTAAATTCTCATGACATTTTGATTTACAGCCACCAGATGACATGAAAAAGATATCGTGCAAGTTTGACCAATGTGCATTAGGTTAAAACCTACAGATAAAAGTAGAAAATATAGAATACAGGGATCCCTCGATTAATGCGCATTCGATTAATGCGTTTTCGTTTAGTGCGCTTAATTTTTTTATAACCAATATTCGATTAGTGCGGTAACACACATTTCATTTTAACCATAGTAATTGAAAAGTAAGTTTTAGGCACCGAAATTAAAAATTTTTTTTAACAATTAAAAATAGAAAATGGGTAACTATTTTACTTATCAAGTTATTACTAGAGTGTCCACCCCGACCCCGTAACCTCGGGATATTTTAGCGATTTTTTCGCCCCTTGCCCCGGGGTAAAATACTTGAAATACCCCGGGGCAAATCTTTAATACTTTACTGAACAAATATCTTTTTCATAACAATAATTCATAAAAACCGTCGTCCTCATCAAAATCATCGTCATCATGATGATCGTCGTTGTTTACAGGAAACGCACCATAGATTTGAAATACAAGTCAGTGAAAAAGGGTAAAACCTTTGCTAGGGCTGGTGAAAGGAATTTGGAAAATGAAAGAGAAACATCTTGAGAGAAGAAAGATCTGATGAAATCGTTGGCTACGAGTTTAATAGCTTTTTTTTAATTTTCTTGAATCGCTCTAATTCACATATATTTGAGCTCACTAAAGAATTTTTTTATTATAATGGTCTAAACTTAAT